AGAGATAGTGTGGGAGAGTGGGGAGATAGTGTGGGAGAGTGGAGAGATAGTGTGTGAGAGTGGAGAGATAGTGTTGGAGAGTGGAGAGATAGTGTGGGACAGTTGAGAGATAGTGTGAGATAGTGGAGAGATTGTGTGTGAGATAGTGTGGGAGAGATAGTGTGGGAGAGTGGAGAGATAGTGTGAAAGAGATAGTGGAGAGACAGTGTGTGAGAGTGGAGAGATAGTGTGGGAGAGTGGAGAGATAGTGGGGGAGAGATTGTCTGGGAGAGATAGTGTGGGAGAGTGGAGAGATAGTGTGGGATAGTGGAGAGACAGTGTGGGTGAGTGGAGAGATAGTGGAGAGATAGTGTGGGAGAGTGGAGAGATAGTGTGGGATAGTGGAGAGATAGTGTGGGATAGTGGAGAGATAGTGTGGGAGAGTTAAGACATAGTGGAGAGATAGTGGAGTGTGGAGAGATAGTGGAGAGATAGTGTGGGAGAGTGGGAGAGATAGTGTGGGAGAGTGGAGAGATAGTGTGTGAGAGTGGAGAGATAGTGGAGAGATAGTGTGGGAGAGTGGAGAGATAGTGTGGGAGAGTGGAGAGATAGTGTGGGAGAGTGGAGAGATAGTGTGGGATAGTGGAGAGATAGTGTGGGAGAGTGGAGAGATAGTGTGGGAGAGTGGAGAGATGGTGTGGGATAGTGGTGAGATAGTGTGCGGATAGTGGAGAGATAGTGTGGGAGAGTGGAGAGATAGTGTGGGAGAGTGGAGAGATAGTGTGGGATAGTGGAGAGATAGTGTGAGATAGTGGAGAGATTGTGTGTGAGATAGTGTGGGAGAGATAGTGTGGGAGAGTGGAGAGATAGTGGAGACATAGTGGAGAGATAGTGTGTGATAGTGGAGAGATAGTGTGGGAGATAGTGTGGGAGAGTGGAGAGATAGTGTGGGAGAGTGGAGAGTTAGTGGAGAGATAGTGGAGAGATAGTGTGGGAGAGTGGAGAGATAGTGTGGGAGAGTGGAGAGATAGTGGAGAGATAGAGTGTGAGAGTCGAGAGATAGTGTGGGATAGTTGAGAGATAGTGTGGGAGAGATAGTGGAGATAGTGGAGAGATAGTGTGGGAGAGATAGTGTGGGAGAGTGGAGAGATAGTGTGGGATAGTGTGTGGAGAGTGGAGAGATAGTGTAGGAGAGTGGAGAGATAGTGGGGAGATAGTGTGGGAGAGATAGTGTGGGATAGTGTGGAGAGATAGTGGAGAGATAGTGTGGGAGAGATAGTGTGGGAGTGTGGAGAGATAGTGGAGAGATAGTGTGGGAGAGTGCAGAGATGGTGTGGGAGAGTGGAGAGATAGTGTGGGAGAGTGGAGAGGAGTGGAGAGATAGTGGAGGGATAGTGTAGAGATAGTGGAGAGATAGTGGAGAGATAGTGTGTGGGAGAGTGGAGAGAAAGTAAGGGAGAGTGGAGAGATGTGTAAGATAGTGTGGGAGAGTGGAGAGATAGTGTGCGAGAGTGGAGAGATAGTGTGGAACGATAGTGTGGAAGAGAGTGGAGTTGGTGTGGGAGAGTGGAGAGATAGTGGAGAGAAAGTGTGGGATAGTGGAGAGATAGTGGAGAGATAGTGTGGGATAGTGGAGAGATAGTGTGGGAGAGTGGGGAGATAGTGTGGGAGAGTGGAGAGATAGTGTGTGAGAGTGGAGAGATAGTGTTGGAGAGTGGAGAGATAGTGTGGGACAGTTGAGAGATAGTGTGAGATAGTGGAGAGATTGTGTGTGAGATAGTGTGGGAGAGATAGTGTGGGAGAGTGGAGAGATAGTGTGAAAGAGATAGTGGAGAGACAGTGTGTGAGAGTGGAGAGATAGTGTGGGAGAGTGGAGAGATAGTGGGGGAGAGATTGTCTGGGAGAGATAGTGTGGGAGAGTGGAGAGATAGTGTGGGATAGTGGAGAGACAGTGTGGGTGAGTGGAGAGATAGTGGAGAGATAGTGTGGGAGAGTGGAGAGATAGTGTGGGATAGTGGAGAGATAGTGTGGGATAGTGGAGAGATAGTGTGGGAGAGTTAAGACATAGTGGAGAGATAGTGGAGTGTGGAGAGATAGTGGAGAGATAGTGTGGGAGAGTGGGAGAGATAGTGTGGGAGAGTGGAGAGATAGTGTGTGAGAGTGGAGAGATAGTGGAGAGATAGTGTGGGAGAGTGGAGAGATAGTGTGGGAGAGTGGAGAGATAGTGTGGGAGAGTGGAGAGATAGTGTGGGATAGTGGAGAGATAGTGTGGGAGAGTGGAGAGATAGTGTGGGAGAGTGGAGAGATAGTGTGGGATAGTGGTGAGATAGTGTGCGGATAGTGGAGAGATAGTGTGGGAGAGTGGAAAGATAGTGTGGGAGAGTGGAGAGATAGTGTGGGATAGTGGAGAGATAGTGTGAGATAGTGGAGAGATTGTGTGTGAGATAGTGTGGGAGAGATAGTGTGGGAGAGTGGAGAGATAGTGGAGACATAGTGGAGAGATAGTGTGTGATAGTGGAGAGATAGTGTGGGAGATAGTGTGGGAGAGTGGAGAGATAGTGTGGGAGAGTGGAGAGATAGTGGAGAGATAGTGGAGAGATAGTGGAGAGATAGTGTGGGAGAGTGGAGAGATAGTGTGGGAGAGTAGAGAGATAGTGTGGGAGAGTGGAGAGATAGTGTGGGATAGTGGAGAGATAGTGTGGGAGAGTGGAGAGATAGTGTGGGAGAGTGGAGAGATAGTGTGAGATAGTGGTGAGATAGTGTGCGGATAGTGGAGAGATAGTGTGTGAGATAGTGGAGAGATAGTGAAGAGATAGTCGAGACATAGTGGAGAGATAGTGTGTGATAGTGGAGAGATAGTGTGGTAGATAGTGTGGGAGAGTGGAGAGATAGTGTGGGAGAGTGGAGAGATAGTGGAGAGATAGTGGAGAGATAGTGTGGGAGAGTGGAGAGATTGTGTGGGAGAGTGGAGAGATAGTGGAGAGATAGAGTGTGAGAGTCGAGAGATAGTGTGGGATAGTTGAGAGATAGTGTGGGAGAGATAGTGGAGATAGTGGAGAGATAGTGTGGGAGAGATAGTGTGGGAGAGTGGAGAGATAGTGGAGAGATAGTGTGGGATAGTGGAGAGATAGTGATAGTGTGTGTGATAGTGTGAGATAGTGTGGGAGAGATAGTGAAGAGATAGTGGTGAGATAGTGTGGGAGAGTGGAGAGATAGTGTGGGAGTGTGGAGAGATAGTGTGGGAGAGTGGAGAGATTGTGTGGGAGAGTGGAGAGATAGTGTGAGAGACAGTGTGTGAGATAGTGTGGGATAGTGGAGAGATAGTGGAGAGACAGTGTGGAGATAGTGAGAGAGATGGTGTGGAGATAGTGTGTGATAGTGTGGGAGATAGTGTGGGAGATAGTGAAGAGATAGTGGAGAGATAGTGTGGGAGAGATAGTGTGGGAGAGTGGAGAGATAGTGGAGAGATAGTGGAGAGATTGTGTGGGAGAGTGTAGAGATAGTGTGGGATAGTGTGGGAGAGATAGTGGAGAGATAGTGGAGAGATAGTGTGGGATAGTGGAGAGATAGTGTGGAGAGTGTGGGGGAGATAGTGTGGGAGAGATAGTGTGGGATAGTGGAGAGATAGTGTGGAGAGTGGAGCGATTGTGTGGGGGAGATAGTGTGGGAGTGTGAAGAGATAGTGTGGGAGAGTGGAGAGATAGTGTGGGAGAGTGGAGAGAAAGTGTGACAGAGTGGAGAGATAGTGGCGAGATAGTGTGGGAGAGTGGAGAGATAGTGTGGGAGGGTGGAGAGATAGTGTGGATGAGTGGAGTGATAGTGTGGGAGAATGGAGAGATAGTGTGGGAGTGTGGAGAGATAGTGTGGGAGTGTGGAGAGATTGTGTGGGAGAGTGGAGAGATGGTGTGGGAGAGTGGAGAGATAGTGTGGGAGAGTGGTGAGATAGTGTGGGAGAGTGGAGAGTTCGAGAGGGAGATGGTTCCCAGCCTCTACATACCCCAAGAGCCGAGGTCCAGGTTGGTGGTACACCACCATTGAGTCCCCAACCATGAAGAGTCTGTTGTGTGATGTCATCATATGCTATCACATTCTGTCTGCCTCCCATCTCTTGTTTCAATTCGTATGTATGGTTTGACTGTGTGTGAAAGAATTTGTGTGTGGTGTGTTCTGGAGTTTGGGAATGTGTTTTGTGTTATTCTGTCTGAGCAGGTATTTGTGATGATAGATCTTGAGAAGATCTTTCCGACGCAACAAGAATCGCTTCAATCGGAGCAAGAACGCGAAAGCTATTAAGATTCAAAGTTCATGAGCTTGCGTTACAATTGCGGCGGTTACTAAGTGAAGTTGTGGGGTGACTTTATGTGGAGTTGGGACCTTTGGGGTTGGGGAAATTTTTCACTCTACTGTAACAGCTGCAAATTGGTTGGGAACAACCAAGCTAGGTTGGCAAGGGTGGCCAACTTGGATGGATTGGTTGGGAAGGGACAACTGTCAAAATTGGGGATCCTATAGGGAGGGAATCTTTGTGCTTATGGGGTTTCCTTGGTTGGGGACTCTCTTGGGACCTTCCCTCTCGTCCCTCTTTTTCTATCCCAACCTTTCTCTTTCTCCTCTAATTCCTTGTGAGATTCTTGAACTTTGATTAAACTCTTGAGATTGAGTTAAGTTCTCCTCCTACAGCTTACCCCCTAGTGCTTCGAAAGCCATAGCGTCTCAAATACTTCATCAATCAACATGATTCAAATTGGGAACGGTAGCTGAGATTAAGAGCTACATTATATCCAAGTTTCGCGACATTCCAACGGCTAGTTTTTTGTCGACGTCGTTTCTTGTGAAGACGACTTTTCTGTCCAGAATTTCGGATTTATATTTTGAGTAATTCTAGCTCCTAAGTTCACCTAGACTCCGTCCTTAATACTAACAAGTGGTATCACAGCGATATTAAGGACATTGAGAGGAGTCTATAGAAGTGTGAAGACCCTTCTAGACCCACCATGGCCTGTGGGTGTGCCTTAGTGGTGTTCTAAAGGTTGGATGTGTCTTCCGCTAAGGGGAAACTCTGCCGAAATTTCGTGGACGCCGACACTTGTGAAAAATATCAAGGGAGCTGTGTGTGGACAGCAAAGGGGAGCTGAAATTCGTCATTTCTCAAGGAGAAGATGAATGAGAGAGGAGGAGATGCTAATGGAAGAGGAGCTGTAGCTGAGAAGACAAGTGAGCCGCCGCCATCAAAAGTTGAAGCTTTGGATGGCTCCAACTATGAGGAATGGAGCGGACGGATGAGGAGTGCCTTCAAACGCTACAAGCTACTGAAGATTGCTGTTTGGGAAGAGAAGATGCCGGAAGAAGGCGAAGCACGCGAACGGTGGATTGAGAAAAGCGCGGTGCTTTTCGACCTCATTCTTCAATCGGTCAACAAGGAGATGTTCGAGCACATCAAGGATCTTGTGGAAGCGGATGATTCGGGTCCAAGGGCGTGGAAACTACTACGTGATGTGGTTCAGCCCAACACTCTCCCGATGGTGATCGTGCTCGAGAAGGAACTTGCTGCCATCTCCATGCGACCAGGGGACGATGTGAAGCCGGTCCTTGACAAGATCAAGGACACCTATGCAAGGATGGCAGCAGCGGGCAGCAGTGTATCTCAGCTGCAGCAGTGCACCAAGATCATCTCGGTGTTGGACAACTCTTGGGACAACCTCATCCCCACCCTCAACTCTCAGCAAGATCAATGGACACCTGAATGGCTAAGGCAGCAGATTCTGCAGGAGGACTTCCGTAGACGCCATGTGGGAGGCGGTGCTGCCACGAAGACTGCTGAGGGGTATGGAGCTGCAGGGCGCGGCAAAGGAAGAGGGGGTTGGAGAGGCCGAGGCCGTGGGAGGAGCTTTGGCAGAGGTAGAGGCCGAGGTGACTATAATGAGGGGCATGGAAGCTCCAGTGGCAGGGGGCGTACCAGAATGGAGGGCACCTGCTGGTACTGCAAGAAGATAGGGCATCCTTGGTTCAAGTGCTTCAGCAGGCCGGAGGGATGGGCACCTCCAGGCATGAAGCCGCCCAGTGGTGAACGCGCACAAGGTGGCGCTGTGCAAGGCTCAGGTGCACAAGGTGGAGGTGCACAAGGTAATGCCTATCCTGGTTTGTTTCTTATGGTTGAGGATGTGCATGGGCATGAGGGTGATGTGGGATCAGTGGGAAAGGTTGTGATGCACCCTCTCACACACTGGGTGATTGATTCAGGGTGCACCAGTCACATGACCCCACGGGCAGATTTGCTTGATGAGGTAAAACCCCCTGGGAAGATCAAGTATGTGGCAGCAGCGTCAGGTGCTTTGCTCCCTGTGATTGGTGTTGGGAATGCCAAGGTTAAGGGAGCTAATGGGGAGCTTGTGGGGCTTGGGAATGTTCTGCTAGTTGAAGGTTTGTCTGCTAACCTTCTCTCTGTGCGGCGACTGCAGAAGAGCAAGGCCGAAGTGACCTTTGGACCAACCAGCTGCCGTGCTAAGCTTGGGAAGAAGGTGCTGTGGAGTCTGGAAGAGGAGACCAGCTGCATCAAGGACCTATGGCAGCTGCCCATCATCCCTTGGAATGGGAAGACTCCAACAACAGCAACGGCAGCAGCGGCAAAGGCAACAGCAGGAGGAGATGCAACTGCACCAACTGATGGGGTCCTGGAAGCAGTCAAGAAAGTGCAGCAGCAGCAGACACATAGTGAGGTGCTTGCTGGTGTGGATGCGAGTGCGGCATGGGCTAAGGCTTCATCAAGGAGTGGTGAGGCCGATTGGGAGACATGGCATGAGAGGCTGTGTCATGTGAACTTCCCTATGCTGCAGAAGTTGGTAAAGGATGGGAGCCTGAAAGGCTTGGAGGTGAAAGGGGGAGTGAAGGAGATTGGGAGCTGCCCTACATGCTTGGAGACCAAGTTCTCCAAGTTCCCTTTCAACAGCACTACAGGACCAGCCAAGACCCCACTTGCACTTGTGCACATGGATGTGGTGGGGCCCACAAGAGCCCCTTCCCTCTCAGGCAGCCGCTATTTCTTGACAATTGTGGATGACCACACTCGGGCAGTGTGGGTTTACCCTTTGAACAGCAAGGGGGAGGTGGCAGCGGCTGTCCTTAAGGAGTGGATGCCTAGAGCTCAGAGGGAATGCGGATACAAGGTGAAGGTGATCCGCAGTGACAATGGTGGGGAGTTCATTGGAGCTGATTTTGAGGGGGAGTTGAAGAGGAAGGGGATCCACCATCAACTGACAGTGCCCTACAACCCACAGCAGAATGGCGTGGCTGAGAGGTTCAACAGGACCCTGCAGGAGGGGGCACGCACTCTCCTTGGGCGTGCAGGGCTGCCTGATCCGTTTTGGGTGTCTGCACTGAGGCAGGTCGCCCTTGTGAAGAACAGGGTGCTGGCAACAGTTGGAGATAAGGAGTGGATCCCATATGTCAAGTGGTATGGGAGTGCTCCAGCTGTGAACATGCTGAGGGCATTTGGGTGCATGGTGGTGTTTCATGTGCCTAAGGAGAAAAGGGGGAAGTTGGAGGCTTCTGGAAGATGGGGTGTGCACTTGGGGATTGCAAAGGATCACAAGGGGCGGCTGCTATGGGACTTGACCACCCAGAAGTTGACAGTGTCAAGGGATGTGAAGTTTCTTGAGTCCCTGTACTACAAGGAATGGAAGCAGCAGCAACAGAAGCTTCCATCTACACCGCTCATTGTGGAGGCAGATGAGGTGCAGCAGCCTTCAAGACAGGTGGAGGTTGCAGTGTCAGAGGAGGAGATGTCTGGGGAGACTGAGGAAGGGGGAGCAGCTGAAGTGGAGCAGCAGCAGCAGCATGAGTCTCCACCTCGAGTTCCACACCCGCCTGAGCGTCCTAGGAGGGATGTGCGCCCTCCAGTGAGGCTGACCTATGGGGGAAGAGGCAAGCCGAATGTGGTGCAGGCTGGGAGTGTGGTTGAGCAGATTGAGGAAGATGAGATCGCTCACTGCTACTGGGCACCAATCCCTGAGCCCAAGACTCAAGAGGAGGCTTTGAATGGACCAAATGGGGAGAAGTGGAAGGCGAGTGAGGATGAGGAGTTCGGGTCCCTAATTGAGAACGAGACATGGGACCTGTGTGACTTGCCTCCTGGGAAGAAGGCAATCACTTCCAAGATGATCTACAGGCACAAGTATGGACCTGAAGGGGAGCTGACCCGCTACAAGTCTAGGCTTGTGGCACGGGGGTTTCAGCAGACAAAGGGGAAGGACTATGATGAGGTGTTTGCTCCTGTGGGGAAAGGAACAACATTGAGGGTGCTGTTGGCGATAGCTGCACTCCTGGGATGGAAGATTCGGCAGATGGATATTGTGACTGCCTTTCTGAATGGGATCATTCTGGAGGAGGTGTACATGAAGCAGCCAGAGGGGCTGGATGACGGGAGCGGCAGGGTCTGCAGGCTGAAGAAGGCCATCTATGGCCTTAAGCAGGCGCCTCGTGCATGGTATCACAAGTTGGAGGAGGCGCTGTTGGCTGGGGGTTTCAAGAAGAGTGAGTGTGACCCCAGCCTGTTCCTGCTGCAGGAGAAGGATGAAATCCTGATGCTCTTGGTGTATGTGGATGATATCCTTCTCTTCTCTGCATCAACTGCTTTGCTGGACAGCGCAGAGCAGATGCTGGAGATGCAGTTCAAGTGCTCCAAGATGGGTGAGGTGAAGTACTACTTGGGGATGCATGTGGAGAGAGATGTGGAAAAGGGTGTGCTGAGGTTGCACCAGAGGAAGTACTGTGAGGGGCTGGCTGAGAAGTATGGGCTGCAAGATGGGGGAAAGCCAGCAACACCACTACCTTCGGTGTGAGAGTACGACCCCGTTACACCACTTGGCCTTTTCTTATTTCCTTCCCTTTTCATTTCTCGTTTTACCGCATCTCATTTGGTTTCCTATTCTTCCTTTTCCATTTACCTTTGGTTTATCCTGCTATTATCATTATATCACCGACCAGGCTTGGGATGTATTGGTGTGCTCTATCTAGCGTAATCCTGCCGTAATCCCTTAAAGCCAATAGCCTCGCGTGGCTATACGCAGGGTGATTCTATCTTCTAGAAGGGTCTATTCCCTTAGGATAAGATAAACCTGGTTACCTGATGTACTCTGGAAGTATAAAAGCGCCTTGTACCGATCGATAGTGCAACCTTTCCTCGACACATTCGATCCTGTGACACTTGGTAATCAGAGCTTTTCTCACTCGACCGCGCTCAGCTAAGCAGCAGCAGCGGGGATCCTGCCTCGAAAAACCGCCGGGGGCGACCAATTCGACGCCGATTCTGGTAAGCACCAGCTCCGCGATTTTCGAATTACCCCCTCCGTGCGTGTTTTGAACAGGATGGCAACCTTCGACAACGCCGAGGTTACCCAGCAGCTCTTCGCGCGCATCGCAGCCCTTCAGGAGGAAATGCGAGCGGATCGCGAAGCGTGGCGAAACCAGTTCGAGCGAGTAACTCGACTCGCCGGAGCGCAGCACGAGACGACAACGGCGACGACGCAGCAGTCGCAGCAGTTTCTCGAGGCTCCGAAACCGCGCCCACCTGAGCCGTTCGATCCGAGCGATCGAAACTCCGACGCCCGCAGATGGATCGCCGGGATGGAGATCTACTTCGCAGCCGTCGGATGGAGCTCGCCAGTCTGGGACGGTCAACGTGTACGACTCGCGGCGACACTGATGCGAGGGCCGGCACTCGAGTGGATTGGCGGCAACAGTACTTTCATCCACGGTGAAGCCACGTGGCAGCAGTTCCGCGCCGACCTGCTGAAACGCTTCGAACCGATAAATTCGAGTTTCCTTGCCCGGGAAAAAATTCATCGACACCGACAGTTCGGGAGTGTAGCACAGTACACGCAGCAGATGGAGGAATTTTATAACCGCATTCCCGACCTGACCGAAGGGGAAAAAGTACAATCGTACCTCGCCGGGTTGAAGACCGAATTCAAACGACAAGTCGCAGCGTCAAACTACGCGAGCTACAGTGACGTCGTTTCGGCAGCGGAGCGCTTCGACATGGTCAACGCCGGAACACGACGGACGCACGTCGGCAGTACGCGACAGGGCGACCGCTCGGCTCACCCCACGTTCGCCGACCCGATGGAAGTCGACAGATTCGAGGGGCGGCCACGTCCGAAAAACACCAACTACACGTGTGATTTTTGCGGGGTGCCGGGCCACCGAATCTTCGACTGCAACAAAATGAAGGCCGCACGCGCAGAGTATCGGGCACGCAACAGTGGCGGAAATCTTTCGGCCAATCAGAAGACAAAAAATGGGAGTCGCCAGTGATTGCGGATCTAGCTGGCGAAAATAAAAAGATCCGAAAGCGGCCGCGGGATTCCGGGAAAATCAACTTCGACGAAGCTGATTCGACGCGAGAAGGAGGAAATGATGGGGGAAAATCTCCACCCCACGACCAGTCTTCGCCAGGGAAAATCGCCGAGGAAAAATGCGACTCCGCGAAAAAAGACTCTGCCGAGACAGGGAAACTCCTTGAAGACCTAAGAAATTATAAGAATTCGTTAAAGTTATCTTATAAAGATGCTTTAATGAAAACTTATGATTTTCGAGGGGCTAGAGCCTTGGAAAAATTTCGGGAGGGACTCCAAAAGAAGCAGACACCTGTGGAGATTATACCGGTACCGGACAACCTGGGGACCAAATTAAGGAGTGTGGAAAGAAGCCGACCTTTCCACGGAGTCAACGTCTTCTCCCGACACCAGCCCACAACGACTACCCGCTCCCCAGGGAAGACGTCGGTGGAGCTGAAGCAGCTCAAGAGGAAGCTGGGGGTCTACAAGAAGCTGCACAAACCCCGAACTCCTTCTACGGATGCATCCAGTTCTTCGGCATCAGTGACGCGCACAGTCGTCAAAGAAACTCCGGGCCCTGGAGAAGAGCCGTTCTCCAAGCAGCCTTGGCCAGCTGCCAGCTCAAAAGTAGACAACAACACAAAGGTGTGTACGGAATATTGGGATGTACCCTATGACCCAATCAATGAAACTATCTTTGGGTACTCCGAGCAACGACTGCCCCTCGTGCTCGAGGTCATCTGCAAAGGACGACGCCTCCAAGCACTCGTGGACAGCGGAGCGTCACACACCGTCTGCGACAAGGCAATGATCGACCGACTCCGGGAAGAGTACAAGCCTTCAGGATTCTCTGCAACGATGGTGGACGGCAGCAAGTTACCAGTACACGGCGAAGCAGTGCTACATCTACAAATTGGACCACTGCGCTGGAGACCTGCACTCCCCATCACCAACATCAAAGGGCTTGACTTGATCTTCGGGCGAGACTTCCTGAAAAGATTCAACCCCGAGATCAACTGGGTGAACCGCACCGCAAGCATCTACAACAATGGACGGAGAGTACAGCTACCCAACTGGGACGACACAGGAGATATCCCAGTGGAGACACTCGCACGATTCGAGAAGGATGTGAAGCGGACCGACACCGGGTTCCTGGCGATAGCAACAGAGGTGGAGAATGACGGAGAGAAAGCCTCGGAAACTTCAGAAAAAATCAAGGAATTACTGAAGGAGTTCCAAGACATTCTTCCTGACGATCTTCCGAACGAGCTACCGCCATACCGAACGCATCAACACGAGATCGTGGAGGAACCGGGTTCGAAGCCGACCTTCCGAGCACCATATCGACTCAGCCCTACGGAGCTGACCGACATGAAGAAGCAGATCGAGTATCTCCTAGCTAAAGGACTCATCCGACCATCCACTTCGCCGTACGGTGCCCCAGTACTCTTCACACCGAAACCGGACGGAAGCCTGCGCATGTGCATCGACTACCGAGCTCTTAACAAGCAGACCATCAAGAATAAATATCCGATACCGCGAATCGATGACCTGCTTGACCAGCTTCGGGGAGCTACGGTATTTTCCAAACTGGATCTGCGGTCCGGATACTGGCAGATACGGATGGCGGACAACTCTATCCACAAAACTGCTTTTCGAACTCGGTACGGATCGTACGAGTATTTGGTCATGCCGTTCGGACTCACCAACGCGCCGGCAACGTTCCAAGCCGAAATGAACCACATTCTACGACCACTTCTGGACGAATGCGTGGTGGTGTACCTGGACGACATACTCATCTACTCGCGCGACATGAAGCAGCACGTCGAACACCTGCGACGCGTCTTCGAAATTCTTCGACGAGAACGATTCTACGTCAAACTGTCCAAGAGCGAATTCGCCCTGGAGAAAGTCCAATTTCTAGGACACTTGGTGAGCGCTCAAGGAGTTCACGTCGACCCCAAGAAAGTCGAAGCCGTACGTACGTGGAAGACACCCGAGAACGTGAAGGAGTTGCAGCAGTTCCTAGGCTTCGCTAATTACTACAACAGGTTCGTGCCACAGTATGCGAAACTCGCGACACCACTCACGAATCTGCTGAAGAAGAACACGCCCTACAAATGGGAGACGAAGCACCAGGAAGCCGTGGAGCAGCTGAAACAAGCACTAACGTCCGCACCGGTGCTCATCTTGCCAGATCCCGAACGTGACTACGTCATTGAAGCAGACGCCAGTGATCGGGCCGTGGGTGCAGTCTTGATGCAAGACCAGGGGAATGGACTGCAACCAATTGCCTACCTCAGCAAGAAGCTGCACGGGGCAGAACTCAACTACCCGATACACGACAAAGAGGCTCTTGCTATCGTCATCGCCTTCAAAGCGTGGAGATGCTATCTCGAAGGACGACGAACGACCGTCTACACCGACCACTGCAGCCTGAAATATTTGAAGACACAACCCAACCTTTCCAGGCGGCAGGTCCGGTGGATCGACTTCCTCGAGACACACTTCCACTACGACATCGTGTACAAGCCCGGCCACAAGAACAAAGCAGACGCTCTCAGCCGGCCTGCACACGTTGCCGCGATTCAGATCGAAGGGATGAATCCACTACTCAAGGGACTCTTCACCCACGGGTACGCCATCGACCCCGAAATTTCCTTGGCAGAAAAGCGACATCTGCTACAGTGGGACAGTGACATCGCGTACCGGAAAGGATCAACAAAAATCTGGGTACCCAATTACCCTCCTTTGCGCCAGTTACTACTCGAAGAATACCACGACGTCCTGTACGCCGGACACTTCGGTAGCAACAAGACGCTCACCGGTATCGCCAAACACTACTACTGGCCCCATATGGCAGACGACGTCCAGAAATTCGTCACCTCGTGTGATACATGTCAGCGGATGAAGAGCAGCAAGCAGAAAAAGGCGGGACTACTGCAGCCTCTTCCTGTCCCAGAACAACCATGGCAAGTGGTTAGCCTGGACTTCATTACCGGGTTACCACCTACCTCCAGCGGTCATGACGCCATCCTTGTCGTCATTGACAAGTTCTCCAAAATGGGACACTTCATCCCGACACACACGACGGCACGCACCGAGGAGACAGCACAGCTCTTCGTTCGTCACATCATCTCACAGCATGGCATCCCAACTACACTCATCTCCGACCGAGACCCCAAGTTCACCAGCAAGTTCTGGAAGGAACTTATGTCTCTGCTCGGCACCAAACTCGCCATGTCATCCGCATACCATCCGCAGACAGACGGACAGACCGAGCGCCTCAACCAAATTGTTGAGCAACTCCTCCGAGCAGCCTGCAAGGACGACATCTCCAAATGGGACTTGCACCTGCCCGTACTCGAGTTTGCTTACAACAATGCCACACATGCCGCTACTGGACAGACGCCGTTCTTCCTCTGCTACGGACGCCACCCACTCACACCACAGAAACCGACAACATCAGCAACAGTCCAACCTGCACACGACTTCATCACAACCATGCATCAACTTTGGGATCGGACCCATAAGCGCCTCCTTGACATTCAACAGCAACAAAAGCGCCAAGCCGATCGCCATCGCAACGATCACACCGTCACGGTGGGAGACCAGGTTCTCCTTGACACCCGCAACCTGGACATCAGCCATCTCCCATCTAAACTTCGACCTCGCTTCTGCGGGCCTTTTCTCGTTGAAGCACAGGTCACTCCTGTTACCTTCCGCTTACGCCTGCCAGCTACCTGGAAGATTCATAACGCCTTCCATGTCCAACTTCTGAAGCCCTATCGAGATCCTAACACGATCTTCGTCGGACGCCAGCCGCCGCCGCCGCCGCCCGTCCTCGTCCAGAACGAACCCGAGTACGAGGTCGAGTCCGTGCTCGCACACCGCCGTCGTCGGAATGGCACCGTGGAGCTTCTCATCCGTTGGAAGGGTTATGATCCTTCTGAGGACAGCTGGGTACCTGAGTCCGACATGGGTAACGCCCGTCGTCCTCTGCATGACTACCTTGTCAAGCAGGGTGTTACTTCTACCACCCAGCTTTGAGGGGGGGAAGTGTGAGAGTACGACCCCGTTACACCACTTGGCTTTTTCTTATTTCCTTCCCTTTTCATTTCTCGTTTTACCGCATCTCATTTGGTTTCCTATTCTTCCTTTTCCATTTACCTTTGGTTTATCCTGCTATTATCATTATATCACCGACCAGGCTTGGGATGTATTGGTGTGCTCTATCTAGCGTAATCCTGCCGTAATCCCTTAAAGCCAATAGCCTCGCGTGGCTATACGCAGGGTGATTCTATCTTCTAGAAGGGTCTATTCCCTTAGGATAAGATAAACCTGGTTACCTGATGTACTCTGGAAGTATAAAAGCGCCTTGTATCGATCGATAGTGCAACCTTTCCTCGACACATTCGATCCTGTGACATTCGGGGTTTACTGTGGAGACATGTGCTGATGAGGAGGTAGTGGGTGAGAGTGACAGGAAGCTGTTTCATTCGATGGTTGGGTCGCTGAACTATGCTGCAAATCATACACGGCCTGACATTGCATTTGCTACATCACGGTTGGCTAGTGTGGTCTCACGCCCTAGTCATGAGCAGCTGGAAGCGGCCAAGAGGTTGGTCCGCTATGTGAGCGCTACCGCATCAGTGGGATTGGAGTATAGTGGAGTGAGGCAGCGGTTGCAGAGAGGTGCTGCAGATGTGAAGAGTGGAGAGATGCTCTTGAGTTGCTATACTGACGCTAGCTTCAACTCAGTGAAAGCGGATGGCACCAGCATTGGGGGTTATGTGTGCTTGCTAGGAGGTGGTGCTGTGAGCTGGCGCAGCAAGAAGCAGAATGAGGTGGGATTGTCCTCATGTGAGACTGAGTACATAGCCCTTACACCATGGGGCCAAGGAAGTAGTGTGGCTAAGGCGTTTGTTGGAGGAGTTGGGAGTTGGTCAGGAGGAGCCGACAGTTGTGTTCTGTGACAATGAGTCTGCTGTGAAGCTCGCCAAGAATGCTTGTCTGCATGGGCTGACAAAACACATAAGGCCTAAGTGGCATTGGGTGAGGAGACTCCTTGATAAGGAGGTGCGGCTGGACATAGTGAAGACCCATCAGCAGGCAGCACATATTTTCACTAAGCGTCTGGCGGAGGCGGATCATTGGAAGGGCATGAAGCTTGCTGGGATGAGTGTGCATTGAGTATGCATGCTTGAGATGTTGGTATGGTGGATGATGGTTGGCAGCCAGAGGGGGAGATTGTTGTGTGATGTCATCATATGCTATCACATTCTGTCTGCCTCCCATCTCTTGTTTCAATTCGTATGTATGGTTTGACTGTGTGTGAAAGAATTTGTGTGTGGTGTGTTCTGGAGTTTGGGAATGTGTTTTGTGTTATTCTGTCTGAGCAGGTATTTGTGATGATAGATCTTGAGAAGATCTTTCCGACGCAACAAGAATCGCTTCAATCGGAGCAAGAACGCGAAAGCTATGAAGATTCAAAGTTCATGAGCTTGCGTTACAATTGCGGCGGTTACTAAGTGAAGTTGTGGGGTGACTTTATGTGGAGTTGGGACCTTTGGGGTTGGGGAAATTTTTCACTCTACTGTAACAGCTGCAAATTGGTTGGGAACAACCAAGCTAGGTTGGCAAGGGTGGCCAACTTGGATGGATTGGTTGGGAAGGGACAACTGTCAAAATTGGGGATCCTATAGGAGGGAATCTTTGTGCTTATGGGGTTTCCTTGGTTGGGGACTCTCTTGGGACCTTCCCTCTCGTCCCTCTCTTTCTATCCCAACCTTTCTCTTTCTCCTCTAATTCCTTGTGAGATTCTTGAACTTTGATTAAACTCTTGAGATTGAGTTAAGTTCTCCTCCTACAGCTTACCCCCTAGTGCTTCGAAAGCCATAGCGTCGCGAATACTTCATCAATCAACATGATTCAAATTGGGAACGGTCGCTGAAATTAAGAGCTACAACATATCCAAGTTTCGCGACATTCCAACGGCTAGTTGTTTGTCGACGTCGTTTCTTGTGAAGACGACTTTTCTGTCCAGAATTTCGGATTTATATTTTGAGTAATTCTAGCTCCTAAGTTCACCTAGACTCCGTCCTTAATACTAACAGAGTCTCGAAAGGGCCTACACCAAGTGAAATGTAACACTACACGAAGTAACGTATTTTCACTATTTAATATTTTTCCGCGTCCCTTGGGCTTGACATCTTGAGCTCTTGTTCTTGGATCTGCAAGATAAATTCTTCTTGAGTTGATGGGGGCTTGCTGCATACACCTGCGACACGATGGACACTTCACACTCGAAAAAATAGAAAAAACACATGCGACACACAAACGACGACTTGACATGCGAGTTGTAAAAACTCGCTAATGTCTTGACCGACACAAACCACATTGAGATACACCATTCAAACACACACACAAGCACTGGATAGCAATGACATAGACTCACAATTCATTCCATGCCATGCATGCACACACACAAACAAGGAGAGTGGAGAGATAGTGTTTGAGATTGGAGAGATAGTGTGGGACAGTGGAAAGATAGTGGAGAAGGTGGAGAGATATTGTGTAAGAGTGAAGAGATAGTGTGGGAGAGTTGAGAGATAGTGTGGGAGAGTGGAGAGATAGTGTGGGAGAGAAGAGAGATAGTGTGGGAGTGTGGAGAGATAGTGTGGGAGAGTGGAGAGATAGTGTGACAGAGTCGAGAGATAGTGGAGAGATAGTGTGGGAGAGTGGAGAGATAGTGTGGGAGAGTGGAGAGATAGTGTGGGAGAGTGGAGAGATAGTGTGGGAGTGAGTAGAGATTGTGTTGGAGAGTGGAGAGATAGTGCAGGAGAGTGGAGAGATTGTGTGGGAGAGTGGAGAACTAGTGTGGGAGAGTGGAGAGATAGTGTGGATGAGTGGAGTGATGGTGTGGGAGAGTGGATATATCATTTGGGAGAGTGGAGAGATAGTGTGGGAGAGTGGAGACATAGTGTGGGAGAGTGAAGAGATAGTGTGGGGGAGTGGAGAGATTGTGTGACAGACTAGAGAGATGGTGGAGAGATTGTGTGGGAGAGTGGAGAGATAGTGTTTGAGATTGGAGAGATAGTGTGGGACAGTGGAGAGATAGTGGAGAGGGTGGAGAGATAGTGTGTGAGAGTGAAGAGATAGTGTGGGAGAGTGGAGAGATAGTGTGGGAGAGTTGAGAGATTGTGGAGAGATAGTGTGGGAGCGCGGAGAGATAGTGTGGGAGAGTGGAGAGATAGTGTGGGAGAGTGGAGAGATAGTGTGACAGAGTGAAGAGATAGTGGAAAAATAGTGTGGAAGAGTGGAGAGACAGTGTGGGAGAGTGGAGAGATAGTGTGGGAGAGTGGAGAGATAGTGTGACAGAGTGAAGAGATAGTGGAAAAATAGTGTGGAAGAGTGGAGAGATAGTGTGGGAGAGTGGAGAGATAGTGTGGGAGAGAAGAGAGATAGTGTGGGAGTGTGGAGAGATAGTGTGGGAGAGTGGAGAGATAGTGTGACAGAGTCGAGAGATAGTGGAGAGATAGTGTGGGAGAGTGGAGAGATAGTGTGGGAGAGTGGAGAGATAGTGTGGGAGAGTGGAGAGATAGTGTGGGAGTGAGTAGAGATTGTGTTGGAGAGTGGAGAGATAGTGCAGGAGAGTGGAGAGATTGTGTGGGAGAGTGGAGAACTAGTGTGGGAGAGTGGAGAGATAGTGTGGATGAGTGGAGTGATGGTGTGGGAGAGTGGATATATCATTTGGGAGAGTGGAGAGATAGTGTGGGAGAGTGGAGACATAGTGTGGGAGAGTGAAGAGATAGTGTGGGGGAGTGGAGAGATTGTGTGACAGACTAGAGAGATGGTGGAGAGATTGTGTGGGAGAGTGGAGAGATAGTGTTTGAGATTGGAGAGATAGTGTGGGACAGTGGAGAGATAGTGGAGAGGGTGGAGAGATAGTGTGTGAGAGTGAAGAGATAGTGTGGGAGAGTGGAGAGATAGTGTGGGAGAGTTGAGAGATTGTGGAGAGATAGTGTGGGAGCGCGGAGAGATAGTGTGGGAGAGTGGAGAGATAGTGTGGGAGAGTGGAGAGATAGTGTGACAGAGTGAAGAGATAGTGGAAAAATAGTGTGGAAGAGTGGAGAGACAGTGTGGGAGAGTGGAGAGTTAGTGGAGAGATAGCGTGACAGAGTGGAGAGATAGTGCAGAGAGAGTGTGGGAGAGTGGAGAGATTGTGTTGGAGTGGAGAGATGGTGTGGAAATGTGGAGAGATAGTGTGGGTGAGTGGAGAGGTAGTGTGGGAGAGTGGAGAGATAGTGTTACAAAGTGGAGAGATAGTGGAGAGATAGTGTGGGAGGGTCGACAGATAGTGTGGAAGAGTGGAGAGATAGTGTGGGATAGTGGAGAGATAGTGGAGAGATAGTGTGTCCCCACTCTCTCCACTATCTCTCCACTATCTCCCCACACTCCAACACAATCTCTCCACACTCCCACACTATCTCTCCACTATCTCTCCACTCGGTCACACTATCTCTCCACTATCTCTCTACTCTCCCACACTATCTCTCCACTCTCCCACACTATATCTCCACTTTCCCACACACTCTCCCCACTATCTCTCCACTCTCCCACACTATCTCTCCGCTCTCCCACACTATCTCTCCACTATCTCTCCACTCTCCCACACTACCTCTCCACTATATCTCCACTATCTCTCCACTCTCCCGAACTATCTCTCCACACTCCCAAACTATCTCTCCACTATCTCTCCACTATCTCTCCACTATCTCTCCACTCTCCCACACTACCTCCCGACTATCTCTCCACTATCTCTCCACACTCCCACACTATCTCTCCACTCTCCCTCACTATCCCACACTATCTCTCCCACACTATAGTGGGATAGAGTGTGAGAGATAGTGTGAGATAGTGGAGAGATAGTGTGGGAGATAGTGTGGGATAGTATAGGAGAGATAGTGTGGAGAGATAGTATGGGAGATAGTGGAGAGATAGTGGAGAGATAGTGTGGGAGAGATAGTTTGGGAGAGTGGAGATATAGTGTGGGATAGTGGAGAGATAGTGGAGAGATAGTGTGGGACAGTGGAGAGATAGTGTGGGAGTGATAGTGTGGGAGAGTGGAGAGATAGTGGAGAGATAGTGGAGAGATTGTGTGGGAGAGTGTACAGATAGTGTGGGATAGTGTGGGATAGTGTCTTCCACACTATCTCTCCACCCTCCCACACAATCTCTCAACTATCTCTCCAATGTGTCACTCTACCTCTCGACTCTCCCACACTATCTCTCCACTCACCCACACTATCTCTCCACATTCCCACACCATCTCTCCACTCCCACACTATCTCTCCACTCTCCCACACTATCTCTCCACCCTCCCACACTATCTCTCCACTCTCCCACACCATCTCGCCACTATCTCTCCACTCTGTCACACTTTCTCTCCACTCTCCCACACTATCTCTCCACTCTCCCACACTATCTCACCACTCTCCCACACTATCTCTCCACTATCTCTCCCACACTATCTCTCCACTCCCCCACACTATCTCTCCACTCTTCCACACTATCTCTCCTATCTTCCACACTATCTCTCCACTCTGCCACACTATCTCTCCACACTCCCACACTATCTCTCCACTATCCCCACACTATCTCTCCACTGTCCCACACTATCTCTCCACTCTCCGACACTAGCTCTCCGCTCTCCCACACTATCTCTCCCACACAATCTCTCCACTATCTCTCCACTCTCCCACAATTTCTCTCCACTCTCCCACACTATCTCTCCACTCTCGCACACTATCTCTCCACTATCTCTCGACTATCTCTCCACTCTGTCACATAATCTCTCTACACTCCAACACTTTTTCTTCACGATCTCTCCACTATCTCTCCACTCTCCCACACTATCTCTCCACTCTTCCACACTATCTCTCCACTCTCCCACACTATCTTTCCACTCTCCCACACTATTTCTCCACTATCTCTCAACTCTCCCACACTATCTCTCTACTATCTCTCCACTATCTCTCCACTATCTCTCCATTCTCCCACACTATCTCTCCACTCTCCCACACTATCAATAAACTCATCCACACTATCTCTCCACCCTCCCACACTATCTCTCCACTCTCCCACACTATCTCTCCACTATCTCTCCACTCTGTCACACTATCTCTCCACTCTCCCACACTATCTCTGCACTCTCCCACACTATCTCTCCACTATCTCTCCACTCTCCTACACTATCTTTCCAATCTCCCACACTATTTCTCCACTCATCCACACTATCTCTCCACCCTCCCACATTATCTCTCCACTCTCCCACACTATCTCTCCGCTATCTCTCCACTCTGTCACACTATCTCTCCACT